CGAGCCGCCTCGGCCCCGCCGCCTCGGGCGCCCCCCGCCCCCGCGCAGCGGCCACGCCCTCGCCGCTGCTCCGGTGGGAGTTCGCCGAGTGCGAGCCCCGCCGCCTCGCAGCGCTGTCCCCTCGCTGCCCCGCGCCTCCTCGCGGCTGGATCCGGTCGGGGAGAGGCCCCGCCGCCGACCCCCGTCGCCGGAGCAACCTAGACGGTGCCCCGCGTCCTCTCTGGCCATCTTCTTCCCCTGCTCCGGCGAGAACCCCGGCCATCTTTGAAATCCGTGCAGATCTGAAGGTTGATCCCAGATTTCCCCAAGTCCCGAAATATTTTTTGCATAATGTTGCCCTGTTCACTACATCATAACTCCATGCATACTGCTCCGTTTCGTGCGTGTAATATGTAAAAATGTTCGTTGTGAGATGCTCTACATTTCATTTCATTGCACCATGTTCATTTGAGCTCATATTGATGCCTTAATCATTGTTGCAAGAGTGCTATATAATGTTGTCTGCTGTCTGTTAACAGAACATGTCCATTTGTCATTTTTGCCATGTTTGATGTGTGCATCCTATGAGGTTGATGTCTACATGTATTTTGTGCTACATCATGCCATCTTTACAGGGGTGTATGCCATGTATTTTTATGATCAATGTGATGACTAGTACAAGCATGCAAACTAGGCTTCGTGATGTTGCTGATTTCGGTCCCTGTTCTGCTGTTATTTTTATGTCATGTAAACTTGATGCTACAGAGAGATCTAAGCACATTTTGAGATACTTCAGTAAGGATGATTTGAACATATGGTTATTCTATATCCATTCGTGCCCCTGTTTGCAATTATGGAGTAGTCTGGCATGTCATTTGCTTGCTCTACTTTTGCTATAAAATGTTTCCTGGTAGATTGTTTACATGTTATTCCATTTTGCCAAGGTTGTTGTAGTTGATCCTTGCATGCTATGAACTTGTTCTTGCCTTTGTTAGTTTCATAAACATGTCTTCTTGCTGATGCTATGCTTATCTTGTCATGCAATGATTTGTGGTGAGTGAATCAAGCTTGTTAAGTAGGGTACTTGCTGTTACTGTTTTGCTATGCTGAATCTGTTATTTTGTGATGCTATGTAAACCTGCTGCTACAAGTCATTCCATGCATAATCTGGAGATGTTCACTAAGGATGTTTTGTTATACATGTCATGCTCTATCCACCCATACCCCTGGTTGCATTTATGGCTTGCTGTAGATTGTTGTAATCTTGCTCCAAAGTTGCTAAATAATGTTGCTGTCAGCCTGTTAACATTAAGTTCAGTTGTTGCCATGTGTTTTGCTAGTGATCCATGCACCCTAGGAACTTGATCTTGCCATGCTTAGCTTCATAAACATGTATTCTTACTGTTGGTTGCCTTGTCATGCCATGAAGTGCTCTGTAGTGAGTGGTACAAGCTCACCAACATGCCTACTTATTGTTGGTTCTGCCATGTATGAATCTGCCATATAACTTGCTATGTTTACATGGGTGCCATCATATCTTCTGATCCTTTTTGGCTCATGGTCAGTAAGGGACTTTTGTTCTATGCAACTAGTAAATTCATGCCATGCCTTTGTTTGCCATGATAAGTTCCTGTAACATGTTGTTTGATAGCTCTAAACATTGCAACCTGATGTTATTTTTGCAAAGTCTGAAACTATTATTATTTGCAATCTTGGCATGTGTGTTTGAGCGTGTTCTAGTAGTTTCTGGAGATAGCTCAGTGTTCATGTTTTGTTATGCTTTACCTGTACATCATGTCCATGCCTTTTGTTATCATGTTGAGCTGCTGTAGCATATTGTTTTGATGCTTGCAATATGCCTAGTTGCTGTTTT